CTAAAAGTTTGTTTTCAAAGTTAGTAAAAAAGTTTTTTTTGAAGTTGGATAAAAATAATTTAAATATCATGTAAGATAACACTAAACAAGTTACTAAAAATTTCATCTTTCTCTCTCTCTCTTTCTTTCTCTCGAGTTATGAGAGAACGTACATACATACAGAACAAATTGAAAACTTTCTTTTTTCGATGTCGTTTAAAAATAGGCAATAGAGTCGTTACGGTGACATTCGATGGTTACAAGAATGCGATCGTGCAACGACTCTCAGATAATCTGCAATAAACGCGATAGTAACGATGTTTCTCGTCCGATGCTTTTCTTTCTGTTTTCTTCCAATGCGCTGCGCGTTTATTCTTTTTATTAATTCATCGTATTAGTAATTTTTCCGTCGTAATTTTCGGAGTGTGACGATCCTCCTCTTCGTGAATCATCGAATTTTGAGATCGTCGTCTGGCTGCGTTTTCAGAGAAAATAAGCGGCTGCGGCGACTCACGAATCCCCGACTTATCTCTTACATTACTCAGGCTAGCATTGCGAAAGGATACGGACCACGTGGCCGGCTTATGGCGCCAACATGTGTGTACCTCGCGATGGTTCTTTTATAAAAAGATCACGGCGTTTCGCGCCAGCTCGGCTTGAGTCCGCAGAAATTTCCAGAGAGGAGCGGTACTCTATAATAACGCGTTCTCGCGGCCGCGCGTACATCTCGCGGACTCTCTCGTTAAGCGTCAATAAAACCGAGCTAACAGTTCGTTAATTAATAGACGCGAGTGCAATAAACCGCTCATTATCACTCGGCATTTACAGTCTGGCGTCACGGTCCGCGATTCCGTGATTTCTCGCGCGCGCGCTTTTATTAACGTCGCGCACAGAGACGCAAAAGGGATCGCGACTGTATAATATATATACATATATATATATATACACATACGCAAGAATATCTACGTTCTAATAACAGCGCAATCGCGTCGTGTGAGTCACCAGTCAAATATAGAATACTAAGACTAGAGCAGAGCGCTTCGAAGTTAGCCTGGAAATTGTTTTTCTTGCTGAAAGAATTTCTTTAAGTTCGATTTGAAATCGGACGGGATGACGACGGCAAACTTTCGAACCTTCATTCCCGCGATTTGACATGTAACACATCGCGAGTTGTCACTTTTTTCTTCTCGATTTTCAAAGGGAGGCTCGGCCAACAGGAGAGACTTTAATCAGACATCGCGGCAAAAAGACGACGTTCATTAAATTTTCTAGGATTTTTTATTAATTTTCCGGCACCCCGCGCTTATGCGAGGAAGGATGAATAAATTCAGAAGAAGTGAAAGTAGTCGCGATAAAATTGTCGGTATTTCCATGACTGACCTATATGACTATCGTAGATAGCGTATTAATGACGACAGAGAGATACGCAAGGCGCGGTTTCCTCGCATATGACGTCACGGGTTGTGAATATGACGTTATGGTATGCATGTGGAAAAAATGGCTTTTTTTTTAATGTGTCTATCTTCATCAAAGCTCCCTCCTCAACTAATTTTCGTGTGAGTGAAACAATTTCTTTCTAAATATTATGTCCATCTTCGTTAAATCTTCCTTCTCTTTCTCAACTAAATTTTTTAAAAATCTTTTATCTGAACTTTACATATGTCTATCTTCGTAAAACCTTCTTCCTCATCTAATTTTCTTAAATTTTTAATGTATGCGAACAGAATAGCTTTCTTTTGAATATTATATCTATCTTTGTTGAGTCTTTCTTAAATTTATCTTAGATTTTGAATACGTGTGGACAGAAACCTGTTTTTAATTTTATATTTTTCTTTAATCTTCTTTCTCAATCAACTTTCTTTTCTTTTTAACTGACTTTCTAAGTTTTGTTAAGGCTCCTTGTACCTTGGTGCGATCATGTTGTATTACGTGCCATTTCCAAATAAAGATAAATATGGACGAGAGAGCACTTGAAACTGCTTGAGTCAGTTGTAAAATTGTACGGAAGGTATCCTTTTCTCTTGGCGATTAATAAATAGTCGTATAATAGTCGTTAAAATGAGGTATGCAGACAAAACGGACTCGTTTCACATGACTTATTTTACCATTTATCACAACTATTTATTGATCATTAGGAGAAAGGGATACTTTTCGAATAATTTTACAAGTATACTCAAGCAGTCTCAAATATTCTTTCGTTCATATTTATCTTTATTCAGAAATGGCACGCAACTTCATTAGCATATATCATTCTTCGCTTCTGATGTCATAATCCGACATGGCCGACAAGATACAAAGAGCTTTAATAAGTGAGGACAGGAAAGCTTCTTTTGCATTTTATTCCCATTTTCGTTAAACCTTCCTCTCAGATAATTAAAAAAAAAAATTTAATGTGTGGATACATGATAACTTATTTTCTTTTAAACATTCCATTTCAGCTAATTTTCTTAAAATTTTTAATGCACGCGGACAGAGAATAGTTTCTTTTTAAATTTTGTGTCCACCTTCCTTCTTAGCTAATTTTCTTAATTTCTTTCATACGAGCACAGGATAACTTCTTTTTTATGTCTACCTTCGTTAAAGTCTTTTCTTGCCAGCGGATTCTTGTCATTTTTCTACAATTGAATGACTTTAGAAATGTTTCTTTATCGGGTCTGCGTTCACGCGATCGATCTATCTGTTTAGACAAGGTAAGATACCTTCCGACGTAAGATTCAAACCGACGTACGAGTATGTCAATCGAATCGTAGAAACTTTTCTGAAACTTTGAGGTATCCTCACGCCTATGTCGTAGCGCGCGATGCCGATGAATCAGAAATTTGTGCTTGCGTTTGTTTTGTCGCGTGCACGTCGCCGCTAGTCACGTACAACGAACGTGCCGTGCTACTCGCCTCGCGAAACCTATTGAAAAATTGATCCGGGAAGGTTCGCGCAGTTGTCGAGAGAACGCTCTCGGTGACTGTGGATCCCCGTTAAGAATGTATCCAACACTTTCCTTCCATTTGTTCGCCCAGAAGCAGCGAACGCGGTCTGAACTCTTGCATCCCCGCATACATTCGCATCTGTCCTTCTTCCCCTTCGGCAAAATTATCCGCTGCTGTACCGTTTTCCCGCGACTTTTCCATGCTTCTCTCCCGCGAGAGCAACGGTGTCGTGGTAGGGAACACACAGCGTGTCACCCACTCACTTTCTCTGCCTTCGGCATCCATCTGTGTAGCGCATTTCCCTTTTCCTTTACCTCTTCAGCAGGCCAATGTGCGCCAAGGTTCGAGGGCGATATCAATTTCGCGAGAACGGAATTCAGCGCAGACGCGGCTCCGCGAAGCCATCATCAAGAGAATGAGTGAAAGAGAGAGAGGAAGAAAGAGAGGGAGAGAAAAAGAAAAGGGGGAAGAGAGAGAATATTTTTATCCCGCTCATTCCAGAACGTGGAATTTATTGGCGTTCGCGAATATTTGTTAGCAGAGCCACGCGTGCGGGAGACGTTTATTGTCTCTTCAGTTATATTCCCCCGGTGTTGTCGCGACGGAAATAGCGTCCGTGAACGCGGCAAAACGCGCTTATTTTTCAACACAACGCCGATACACACGTGCGCCGTGTGACGGTTTTAGACAGTCGGAAAAGTCGTCGTGTCCGCATTCGCATCGGAGAGATTAACGTGACAATGACGTTGGGAGTTACTATATCTCTACACCCACCTCGGTCTTTAATGGCAGGTTGCACTTTCTCGCAGTCGTATCGGAAGAACAGAGGCGAGAGCTTTCGAGACGCCGTGAACTTTCGCGCGGCTGCCGTTTGGCCGCCGATAAGATTCCAACGCTGAAAACTCTTGGCAGGCGTGCTTCTTTTGCGGTAATTACGAACGAACTGCGCCGCACTTGAAGTCACTTTGTCGGAGACGCACTCTGAACGGGGTCCCGTCGCGAGCAGACAGTGTGTTAATGCTTCCGCGGCGAGTTGCACGGAAAAACGCGGCGCGGCCGAGGGGCGGGAAAACAGTAAGAACCGCCTGGTAATCACGAACGCAACGAGTATAATTTATTGAGCCTCGTTCCCTAAGTTGCCGCTGATGACGACGACTACTTTTCCGCGTCATGGTTTCGTCAACGCGTTTCCGCTTTCCAAATCGTTACAGGAATTTATCACTTATAAAATGGAAAAAGAAATTAAAAATCAGTATGTATAACTATCGGAAATTTTCGGGAAAAATATAATTAACTTCCATATGATACACACACGTTTTGGGGACCTTTTGGGCACCTTAATCTGGCAATGGTTTTGCTTTTCGTTTACTTACGTTCCGTAAAAGTAATAATAAAAAGCTATCAAAAATAATTAATATACTTTAAAGTCTGCAGAATAGCATCATTCACAGAAATGATTGCAAATATTTATTTAAACCCGTCATTGGTAGTTGTGTATGTGTGAAAAGATTAAGTTTTTCATCTTATCTAAATATTTATTTAAATATTTTATCGAAATTATAAAGGGAAACGCGATAAAAACATGAGTTTATGAAAAAAATTGTAACTTTTCAGAAAATGAATTTAAGAAATTAACATTAACATAGGATCTTCTTGTCCATACTTGAACCTTTAAGAAAAAAGTATCACATATTTTAATTTGTCAAAAATTATAATAATTTGTATTGTATACGAAAATACATCATTTTTTTAGTTAAGATGCGAATAAAATCGTTAATAATTTCAAGATTTTGTGACTATCTATTATATATAACGCGGATTTTGTTAAAATTATTAGAAAGATTAGTTACATTTAATTCTTTTTTATTCGTGATTAGAGTTTAACGATACTAAAAATAAATAAGTTACTTACATCAAAACTTTTCTTATACATTTAATATTATTTAATATATCAGAATTATATTATTTAATATATTAGAAATAAGAGGAGATTTTTTGCGAAAAATTCATTAGAAAGAAACGAAATACACATCGTATAACTCGATCGGGGAAAAAAAATATACTAATAAAAAATATCCAATTCCTTGTCTTACGTACCTTTCTTTCGAAATATTTTTTTCCACATAGACAACATGTATCTGCTGTTTAAATAACGTATTTCTGAATGACACACATGTGTTTGCTACACGAACTTTTAGTTTACTCGCTACGTCGGCTAGAAGGTGTATCGCTCAGTGGTAGCTTATCAAACGTAGTGCCGATAACTGTGGCGTCCCCGGATTGATGACAATACGCGTTATTGTATTCGCACTCTCGCTGCTATCTCGTCGTTTCCTATTTTTACTTGCGCGATATATTGCACAAGGCGATCGGTGAGCCGAACGCACGCGCGGTTAACCCACTTTCTTGCGGCAAAAGCGAAATTGGCGAAATCCGCGCTATTTTGAATATGCATAAGGGCCGCGCAGGTTCGTAACGCGCAGGTGCGAATTAGGAGGGAAATCTGCCGGGGCAAGGCACTGAAATACAATCAGTCTAGACGCTACACTAAGTACACACCGCGCACAGCCGTTCATTCAAACCGCACAGGCGTACAGGAGTGACACGCAAATATATCGCGCGAATTTACACGCGATCGTGTGTCTCAAGAAGGAATTTTGTTCAACTTCGACGTTGCCGGACGCGCTGTCGAGAATCTTGTGGAATACGCTCGTCAGTCTTTAAAGCGGACAGCTTTTCGACCACGAACGATAATATAGCGATAATCTTGCGGCAAGATAGTCTAACTTCCGCGCTAGATTACGTATCGCCGACGGTCGATGACGATTTCTCGGGACTAAATCACATTCCAAGTAGAACCATTTCCAAGAAAACCTAACTAGAAATTGGCCAGTACTGTTGCAAGTTTGTACTTCAATTTATTGGACGGTAATTTATTGTTCGGTTCAACTTAAATTTCGGATAAAATTCAATTTATTAGACGGTAATTTATTGTTCTATCTTCTAAGATGTTTCTCGTTATATAGACTTCTGTATTTCTATACAGAATTATTATTGAATAATAATTTATAATATTTTACTATGTACAATCGAACGATTGACGAAAATTATTTGATAGAATTTCGCGTGGAAAAGAAGTTTGATTAGACACGAGTCAACTGATTAGAAACTGATCAGAAACTATCTAGTGTTACCATCCAATAATCAGAATTCCTGGCCAGAAGTCATACTGGCTAGAAGTCACTCTTTCTACTTGAAAGAGTTTGTCCCTCACGAAAATTCTTCGGATTTTTCCTGCTAATAGAGCCTCTGGTCTAATTGAAACCTAGGCTGAAGACGACAGCAATAGGAAGAGAAAAAAGACAAGGTTGCCAAGTGCTACTTGGCGAGGTGTCTCTCTTCCTTTCACAAGCGGAATGAAGTGTTTCTCGCGCGGATCTCCCCGCGTCTTCTACCTCTCGGCCCGGCGCTACGTGCATGATGCACCCGCGGTTGCGGTCACCGTTGTTAAGCCTTTTTATCGGCCGGGGTCACACGAGCTTCCTCACGCTTTATTTTCGTGCCGATGACTCACGGTGAGTTCGTTACGCTCCTCGCGAAACGCCGCGTTTTTCTGCAGCGAGACATTCGCCGCGCATCTCGTGCGTGCACTCGAATGCATCGATTCATACCGCAATACCTCGCATCAGGGGCGTAGCGAGATATCACCGAGACATATGGGCGATACGTTTTGGCCTTTAAATGTTTCTGTTTGAACTTCGACACGCTCGGCATACGTTATCGTTAAAAAAGTGAGAAACACGTATTTATCAATGGGCTTTCATTCAATGGAGATGTTAATATTCAAGCGACATCCAGAATGAATTACAGCGAAATTGAAATCAGCAGTGAAATCTCTCTCGAAATTTTATTTTATTCCTTTATTTTAACATTATTTTAACTTTATTTTAACATTATATTTTAACTTTAACATAATTTAATATTTCATTTTATTTAAATTATTTTATTTAATAGAGAGATATTAATGAGAGAAAATGTAATTTTATTTAATAGAGATATTAAGATTCAAGCGAAATCCAGGATGGTTTAGGAAATTTAATGGTTTGAGCAAATGAAATTAAGCTTTTATAATTGTATCGGGATGCATTATCGATTCTTATCTGATTCCCTTTCTCTCTCCTCTTTCTTTCTCTGTCGTTGATTCGTCGCGCGTCACATGTCAACGAAACGTCACAGCTAAGCAATAACGCGCGCTTGCGCGAGAGAATTAGCATTATAATGTAATATTCCTCGTGTCTCTTACATGACTATTCGAAGGCCATTGTATGCGATAGCGTGCGAAGCTTAGTGTCTACAATGAGGGTGCACTTTTGGCACGTTGCATTGCATGCGGAGAGCATCGAACAGGAACCAGCCAAAAACAATGATACTGGCAAAATTCAGGAAGCGTATGTACTTACATATATACACATTTTATTTCAATACGGTCGGGACACTTTTCTTCCGTCGATTTTTCTCTCGACGCAATGTGATGCGCAACGTAGTCCAATGAGAAAATCTGACACGTTCAGAGTTTTTATTTGGAGAACTTTTCGCACAGACCACTTGGTATTTTCCTTCTTTTTATGTAATGTCTTAATTGTTTAAAACAGATTTAGTCTGATAATATATAGACATAGCAAAAAGAATCTTTGCTGTCACGCATATGTGACACTTGTAGCGAAGCTATTATTTTCTGAGGCAATGTTGGACATTAACCGTTTAAGTGGTCTGGAAATGTCCGGAAAAGTTTTGTGGTAAAATATTAAATTCCTTTTGAATTATTTAAACTATTGTATATTTTTTGCTTACTCATAGCAGATACAAATTAAATATATTTTGTATTGTATTTTTCAAAATTCTTTAAAGAAAGCAGCAATAAAGAGAAAAGAAATCTAGATGAGCTTATTAAAAAAAGTTCTGGAGGGAATCGCGCAGTCACTTTAAATCAGTAATGAAAGAGTCAATCAATTAAAATTTTATCTGACTGAATCAGTAATCAAAACGTATCAGTCATTATATGTGTAACCACGAATAATTTAATCGATTCATGAGTAATCAGTATTTATAATTAATTAATGTTTCATTAATAATTAATTTAAACCGACTTTATAACGGAAGTTATTCGTGTTTTTATACATAGTTAATTATAACTATTGATTTGACGATTATTTCATCGATTAACAACTACTATTATTATACAACTACTACTGTTATATTATTCAATCGATTAGCAACTACTATTTCAATCGATTAATGTCCAACACTTTTTGGATATTATTCAAAACCAAGTTCTCTTATGAGACTCCAGCAGTGTTTCGAATTGCATCAAGAGAGAAGCGTGTAAACCGCATTTTAAAATCACTTGTAGACATATACATTTTAGCACAGAAAAAGGGACATTCTTGTTTGGAAAATATCTTTATTTTTTAAATGTTTATCTCCAAATAAGATTACATGGCGTTAAATGGAAGTGAGTTACTTGCAATAATACATTTTATATTATATATATTAACACGAAGAAAAACATATGTTTTTATTATTCAAAAATAATTTTCATTAGTGGAAAGTACACAAGATATTGAATTGAGAGAATGTAATTTTTATGCTTCGAATTTTCTCCTATCCACTTGAAGCTAACATACACAAATTAACAATCATTGTTACATAATCAACGATATATAATTCTATCGGAAAAATTTTATATCGTCTTGAATTTAAACAATTATTTGTGTTGAATTAAATATAAAATATATTTGACAGTAAATACACAACTTATTTTCGTCTAATGCTGTCTAATCTCACTTGAAGATTAACATGTCACAAAAATAAATATATCTCCCAAAGAGGAATGTCCTTTTTTCTGCGAGGACACCCCGTATACAAGCAATGTACGCAGACCACCCTTCGCACACCTTCCTTCGTATTTCGATCGTCGATTGTGGGAACGGATGTGAACGCGAGGGCCTCTCCTCTCTTCTCCTCCTCCTCCTCTGCGTACCTCGTCGCGGCGTCGTTCCGCGAGTCGCACACGCGAGAACGCGTCTATAATTGTCGCCGACGCGCTCGCGCAAATTAATGCGGGCGTTTACGCGTATCGCGATCGCGCGCGCCGGATGCGCGCGATGCGCGTCTTTGGCCGGCCGGTATCGCTGAAAACTCGACGACTCGTCCGTTTGGTGGGTCGACGGCCTTCGCGCTCGCGTCAGGTCCCCGGACAAAAGGCGCTCTGTGTTCGGGAATTCTTGCCCCCGCCTCTCCCCCGTTGCCCCTCCTGCCACGTCGATGCGAGCTCTTTGACATCTGACGGGTTCCGTTGGCCCCCTCGGATTGTCGTAGAAAATGAAAGCGCATCGGCACGCGCGTCTCCATGGCGCGAGAGCGTGTCGCCCGCTAATTACCGAGGAGGCGCGTCCCCCAATTCGCGCGACGCTTGTTGTTAATCCAGACGCGACCTTTGTCCCTGGTCGCATCGCGAATGAATGTCAGCGACGGTCGTTTGCGTTTCTCGAGTCGCAGGGAGTCGCGGCCGCTCGCTCGCTCATGAACAGCTGTATTGTTCGCGCCTGCTCTCTCGGGGGGATCGTCGAGCAGCTTCACGAGGAAAACTGTATCTCCTCGTGCTCGTGTCGTGCAGGCAAAAGGGAAAACAGAATCTATCAGGAACTTGTGAAAGTTCGTCGGACCCACAGTCCTATTTCTTCAATTGATGCTCATGAAATAGTGCATATGTGTATGTGTATATTCCATGTTTAACCTATCTGTCATCCTGATCCACCACTCTCCGCCGCTTTTCAGGTAATTGTTTGATTTAGAATCTATTCATCAACCAATAAAATCATCGACAATCCGTCGAATTTTGCATCACTTATTAAAGTCTGCATTCCCGAGAAATTAATGATTCGGACATCATGGCCGAGTGACAAGGATATACAACAAAATGCCGAATTGTTAACTTCCCCCGTCGTGAACGTAAGAATCAACCAGAGTGTTTTATTTACTGATTGCATTATTCTGATTGATTGTCGTAATCATTTACAACCGTTTACAATCACGCTTACGCAATTGTAGAATGGCCTTTAATCATTGACTTCAGAAAAACCTAGTTTTTCTTATGACCAGCATTGCAGTTAGATTTCTTGCTTGCGCTTTAGAGTCGTCTACAATACGCTCGCAGTTTAAAGTCGTAGCATGTCTAGCCTGTGAATCGCGATCATGTATCTGTTTCTTTCGAGAAAATTCATGAGAAATGAACAGTTTCATTGACAAGTTCAACAAAACTTTTTATTTTTCATGAATTTACGCGATATATGATCGATTCACAGACTAGTGTCTTTAGAACGTAACGACGACTCTTAAAGTGCAGGCAAGTTTATGGTTCTCTTAGGAAGTTTATGAAGTCCTTTATGATTCTGAAGAAGATTTTTATAACTATGTGAACAAGTCAACCGTCGTAAAAAAAAGTCAGGTTTTGCTAGCGTGTCAACGATTAAGGGGAACCAATAATTGAATGTATCGCTCTAAATAATCTTGACAAAGTCAACACGGAAAAAAAGATTTGAATTAACCAAATATCTGGTCGAATATGAACGATTCAGAAATTCCGATTGAAGTAACCCGAATTCTGTTTAAGTTAACAAGACCTTTGGTTGACTTAAACAAAATTCGGGTTACTTCAATCGGAATTTCTTGATCGCTCATATTCGACCAGATATTTGGTTAATTCGACCAAACCTTTTTTTCCGTGAAGTAAGTTGCCGTTACACGCGCGAATGGATAAATTTCAAACCGTAGAAACCTCAATTACTTCAAATTGTCCTGAAAAGCCGAAGTGGCTTGCCCCATGCGACGTCCCGCGACGCGACGCGGCTGCGATGTGCGCCGCACAGGTCCCGGAAAGGGTTAACCAGGATTTAGAGAGCGAGCTGTGCGGAATGTAGTGCACGGGATTCCAGCTGGCTTGGAGAAACAGCAACGTGGTGGACACGTTAAGGATTCCGAGCGCGAATCGCGCCGTTTCCGTGCGGTCACGTTCGACGACGGGGCGGCGCGGCGCGACTCGAATCCTCCGTAAGGTAGGCACGCTCGGGACAGACTCGCAAAAGAGAGAAGCGAGCCTCACACGAGCGTATCTGCGCGTGCATATATACGATAGACCAGGACCGGCCGTCGTTGGCTTCGTCAGCAAGCTCGCAAGGTAGCCGAGACGAGCGCACGTTTTCAGCACGTGCAGTAATCGCAAGATCCACCACCGGCGGACTCGCGAATTTCACCGTGAGGTAAAGGGTCGTCGGCAAGGTCGACACACGAGACATGAGAGGAATATGACATGCAAGACATGTTACTTAGAATAAGATTGAGAGAGAGAGAAATAAATATTTATAATAAAATATATAATAAATAACTGATCGCGTCATATGAAATAATAAAGGAATACACATGCAAGATATATTGCATGAAATTTATCCATTCGCGCGTGTAACGGCAACTTGACTTTGTCGAAATTATTTAGGGTGATACACTTAATTATTGGTCCCCCTTAATCATTGACACGCTAGCAAAACCTGATTTTTTTACGACATGCAAGATATATTGTTTAGGATAAGAGAAAAAGAGAGAAATATTTAGAATGAAATATATAATAAATAATTTATTGCGTGATAAAGTAATAGCTGTAAATGATAAGAGCGATCTGAAAACTTTGTATCTCTTATGGACTTTTCCCAGTATATTCCCGGATGCAACATATGATAAGAACGCCGAAATTTTCCCCAAAATTTTTTATTCTATTACGATATCAAGTGGAAGTCCCATTCTTGTTCCAAACATGGTTTCTGTCTAGAATCAAAACAAAAAACAA